TCCATTTTAATAATGCAAGGGGTCTAACGTTTAGGCAGATTTTTGCTATGCAAGAATGTGATAAAGTCGCCCAATGACGAGGACAAACTTGTTGTGTATGGGTTTGTAACAAAATCCAGAAATTTTGACTTTCAAAATTTTGGCTGTTATTTATCCAAAGTAATAACTCAACGACGATGAGATTGTGGAGTCAAACGATCTTGTGTAGATGTATTATCGCAAAGGAGTTGGTGTGAAGAGATTGAAAGAAATATTTGTAATCGAATAAATCTTAAAAAAAAACCCAGTAGACTTTATGCTTCCACAGAAAAAAAATAAAATTTGAGGCAACAAGCCAGGAGACGTATAATTCCAAAAATGATTGATTAAAATAATTTTTGAGTCAGAGTATGACAGCAGACGAGCAAAGGCTACTCTCATCAGTTCTCTAAAGTAATCCAGTAATCCAAAATATTTTGTAAAATTTTCATCCAAAAAAAACTTGTTCCAAAAATGTTTGGTGGGTTGTCAACAAAAGGGTTCAGCACAACGATCAATGTGTAAAATTTCAGCAGCAAAAAATATAAAAATCGCTTATACTTCCGCTTATGGGATGAGTTTATCTTGTTTGAGCCAATAGTTAATCCAACAATTGATTTTTCGAACGGTTTAAAGCATTTGTTGAGACAATACGTGTACTCAGACAGATCCCAGCAAAATTTTCCAATGACGAAAATATTTGGGGATAAATAAACGAGTTTTAGTCGAGAAATATCTCAGATTGTTAAATGAGCAACGTAAAATTTCCAAAAAATTGGTAAATATAAAATGTTCAAAAAGGATTGATTTTGAATATTGAGGTTATCTAACCTCCAAGTGTTCACGCTTGTCCACCAAACGGATTGTATTTACTTTGTTGTGTATTACAATGACGCCTCGCGCCAAAAGTTATTGGTTGTTGTATATAGGGTAATGTAATATGGCGATTATGTAAAGTATTTTCCACAATGTTTCCAAAAAATTCCACAAAAAAATATATGCTTGTTAAGGTTATGTTTGTACTTGTCTAGGTGAAGCCAAAAATTGCGCTTTAATTTTCAAATAGATGCTTATATTGGGTTTGTATTATAAGTTGATGGAGTTATTCCAACAAAATATGAGTTATCCCTCAAGATGTTGCTATGTCATCAATATGACGCCACAAATTCGCGCCAAATTGCAAAACAAAAAATTTGGTTGTGAATTTTCGAGTGTATTCCCTGTATTGGGATTGCAAAGGTTGTTAAAGAACGAGTTCAATCTTCCAAAAAAAAGCTTGCATTTTTTTTATTGAGGTTATAAATTTGTGAAATTATGTCGCCAAAAGTTCGCCATAAATTTCAGATATACGCTTATGTATTGGTGTATGTAATATTTGTAAATGTTTCAAAAGAGAGTGAGAGAAAAAAGCTGTCGTTTTACAACTATGATGCCAAAAAATTTCATGTAAACCTTGTTCTTGTATATAATGTAAAAAAATTCCACTAAATGAGATGGTAAATTTCCAAATTTATGTACACTTTTCCAGAAAGAGTAATTGTTTTTATATTTTCCACACCCAAAATGGCTCACAACTTGTTATGTACCAAGTTCAGTAATGACGGGTCAGTTTCCAAAGTTTCCACTGTATTCGGACAGACGGAAAAAGAGTAAGGATTTCCAATTTTCCACAAAAAGCCAAGCGATTTCCAAAAAAAAACTTTAAATTTTTCCACAAGAGTTCCTCTCTTTTGTATATGTAGATGTGTCTGTTTTCCAAATTTAAAGCGAGATTCTCAGTTTCCAATGTATTAGTGCAAAATTTCTAATTTGTGATATTGTATGTGTAATATTTTTCCAAATTTAAGCGAAAATTCCAAGATTTCCCGAAAAAGAGAGAACTTTCTAGGTTTTGTAAGGGTGTGTGTAAAATTGGATTTGTATGTGTGTTCCCCCGTGATTGAAAAAGGGTACTGTCTGTCCTTTTTTCCAAAAAATCGTTTGAAATTCGTTGTTTGGGTCAGTGCGTCAAATTATCCATAATTTAGACGCGTCATCAAGGGGTTCACAGAGTTGGTGTATGTTTCCGCACCCTGTATCCTTTGAATCACGCCAATCACCAAAATTTCATGGGTACTCACTTTGACTCCTTAGTAATGTAGGAATATGTGTGTGTTTGTGTGTGTGGGTTTTCTCCTCTTTCGTTTTTCCAGTAGCTGGTCTTCTTCTTCCTCCTTTGCTCCTGATCTTGTGATATTGTTGTTGTTATTGTTAGCGACCCGCACCGAATTTTTAGTTAGTTGTTTGTTGTTGTATAATGTATTTGTTAAAATGTTCACTTATTGGTTTTATGTAATTTGTGTTATTTTGTTAAATTAGAAAAAAAATCACACAAAAATAAATTTAGCACAATAGTTTTTGCACGGTTCCACTGTCCAATGTTATGTACTGTACTTTTGTTGTTGTACCTCACTTTTTTTTGTTATTTATTTTTGGTATAGACTTTTTTTTTTTTTTTTTTTTTTTTTTTGCACCACTTCCACTGCTCACTGTACGATTTTTTTTTTTTTTTTTTTTTTTGGTTTTAAATAATGTTTTAGATTTGTTCTGCTTGTGTGTGTACCACTGTATTTATTTCCACACTATTCTTCTTCTTTTTCTATTTCTCTTTTATTTCTTCCTCTTTTTTTTGTTGCAATTTCTCTCACCGGTATTTTTGTTCCAATTAAATTATTTCCAATAAAATAAATTATTCTTTTCGTTTCTTTTTTTTGTTTCGTTTGTTGGAATGGCACTTCACTTTTTGTTGTTGTTTTGACCACTATTTATTTAAAACTTATTTATTTACTTTTTTGTCTGATTTTTTCTTTGTTGCGCCTTTTCTCTGTTCTGTGTTGATTTGTTTATGTGTTCACTGCTGGTTCGTTCAACGTTTGCGTTCACTGGAATGAGCCGTAGGTTTCACTTCCACTTTTAATCACTTTATTAATGATTTTTATAATAATTTTTTCTTTGTAATTTTTTTAACTATTTTAAAAAGCACTTTATCTGGCTCGCTAGGACCAAATGTTTATTGACATACCTTCTTTCCTTTAATAATAACAAGTGTTATTTTTAATTTTTATGTAGTGTATTTGTTGTTGATGTAATTCAATGTGGTATGTACAATAGGTTATAGGTAATGTTGTAATTCAAGGGGGTATGTACAATGGGTTGTAATGTTGTAATTCAAGGGGGGTATGTGCAATTTCTTTTAGGTTTAGTTTTAGGTTAAAATAAATTTTAGGCCAACGAGGGGTGTGCAAAAAAATATATATATAAGGATTTTAACCTTTTTTAATTATTTATATTATTTATGTTTTTAATTACAAGGTAAGTATATGTAATTCAGTAATGTTGTGTAATTGTATGTGTGTATGTGTTTTAACAACTTGGGTGTTTGTTCAATTTATGTTTTTAACAATTTGCGTTTTGTGTGTTTTTAACAATTTGTGTTTTGTGTGTTTTTAACAATATTTGTGTTTTGTATGTTTTTAACAATTTGTGTGTTTTGTATGTTTTTAACAATTTGTGTGTTTTGTATGGTTTTAACAATTTGTGTTTTGTGTGTTTTTAACAATATTTGTGTTTTGTATGTTTTTAACAATTTGTGTGTTTTGTATGTTTTTAACAATTTGTGTTTTTTGAATTTGTGTGGTTTAATTATTGTTTGTATTTTGTCACTGCGGGGAGAACGGACGCTTAGAACACCGGTAAAAGACTAGACTTACTTCGTTGCAACAATCGCTTATAAGCCCTGCTTATGTTTTCCAATATATTGGAAGGCAACGAGAAGTAATGAGAGCAGTTGCTGATGTATGTATGTATATTATGTGTACATATATACACCGTTGCAAACCGCTAACCAGAAAACATACTTTCGGTAAACGGAACAGTGGGGAACAAAAGTTTTCCCTTGATATTTTTTATTAAAAAATCTATGCGTATGTTAGGCCCATAAAAATATTTTTAGGTCCATGAAAAACTATTTTTTTTAAAAAGCAACGCCTATATTGGGACCTCCAGTGCAATTTTCCCGTCTTTCACTCCATCATCAGATCACTCCATTTCTTTTTATAATTCCATTTAAATAAAATGTTTCCCACAAAAATATTTGCAAGCAAGTACCACCCGGTACCCCACCAAGACTTAAAAAATCTCAATCGTATATTATTGGTCTAAGCAATACAACGATTATCAACGATGTGCATATACGGTCTAAAGCCAGACCCATTTTTCAACCAAATATGCAACCTCTCCCATCGATTTTGAAAAATTCGGAAAAATGTAAAGATCTCTATTATCACAGTCTCAATGAGGCAGATTTCGATGCCATAACGGCTGAGAATACAAAACAAAATAAAGTCAATAAACCCACCATAAAATCGATATTGAAAAAACATGATAATTTTAAAATGTTATTGAAAAAATCGGCAGAATTGAAAAAATCGGAAAATAAACCAAATTCAGAAGGGCAGGGTGGAGAAACAACAGCCAACAGCCCTGGCACAGAAAATGGAGAGAATACAAAAAATGAAAATTCAGAATCTGCTAATGACAAGGATTCTGAAAATCCGGTAAGTGTTGAAGGGGACTTTTGAGTGGGTTTGGGTCTCGAAAGGAATTGATTTTTTTCTACAAAAAATATTTTTTTCGTTGATCTGCATGCTATCCGGATACTCAGGCAACTGAGGGCCTACAAGGCAATCACAAAGGACCAGTAAGTATTTGTACCTTGATTTTATGTGTATGTTTCTAGAGTTAATGTACAAATTTCTTGATTTTATGAAACGTGTTTCTACTAACCTATGGTGTTATGGTCTACTCTATATTTATTCTAATTGAAAAATATTCTCTTTTCTCTTTCTTTCTCTCACTCTCGCTCGCTCTACACATCTTTTCTATTATTCCAACACACATATATGTACATACAAACACATATACAATCTTATATATAAAATCCGAAAAAAACCCATTTGTATAGTCCTATAAAGGAAGTATCAAAAAGGTCAAAAGTGTACAATTGGTATGTTATGGTGATGGCAAAATTTTGAAATATATATTTTTTAATGTTTTTCGGAAGTCCAAACTCTAACCCATCTATTTTTTTTTCTATCTTCTTTAGCCTCGAGAACGTGTCATTGATATGTCACCCGAAGATCAAAAGAAATGGGAAATGGAAGAAATGCAAAAACCCATTGATTTGGAAAAGGCCAATGTCAATATTGACCCGAGTCCCTTCCAGCTGGTCGAACGGACCTCTATACTCAAAGTACATTCACTATTCTCAATGGTGGGCATTAATCATGCCTATGTCACAAAAATTGGGCGATTAGTTGGTGTGGTGGGCTTGAAAGAGGTAAGTCAGATATCCATTAAAAGACTATTTTTAAACCAGTAAGGAAATTAGTAAAGTCGGACTGGGCCGACGATATGATACCCTTCACCACTTTGGGTATATTCTACATAAGTATCCTAACAGACGACGCGTTTTTGTTATATATCTATATCTGAACCAATTTCAGGGAAACTTGCCAGGGACTAATTTATATTACATCAGTACGTTGTGTCAATCGGCCTAGCTATGGATCTTTTCAAGAAGCTTAGCAACATCATTTTAGACTTAATTCAGTACCCTATACCAAAATTCGTGCAAATCGAAAGATATATAGGGACTTTGGTGCACCAATTACATAAAATCGGACGAAAATGTGTATGGGAGCTATACCTAAATTTGAACCGATTTTTACGAAACTTAGCACACGTCATTCTAGACTTAATTCAGTACGTTATGCCAAAATTCGTGCAAATAAAAATATTTCCAGGGACTTTGGTGCACCAATTACCTAAAATCGGGCGATACTATATATGGGAACTATCTAAATCTGAACCGATTTTCATGGAACTTAGCACACGTTATTTTAGACGCAATTCAGTACGCTATGCCAAATATCGGGCAAATCGAAAGATATATAGGGTCTTTGGTAAACCAATTACCTTAAATCGGAAGATATATATCTAAATCTGAACCGATTTTCACGAAACTTGGCAGACATCAATCTAGACCTTATTCATTACGCTGTGCCAAATTTCGTGCAAATCAAAAGATTTCCAGGGACTTTAGTGGACTATTTACCTAAAATCGGGCGAAGCTATATATGGGAGCTATACCTAAATCTTGAGTTTGCTGTGCCAAATTTCGTGCAAATCGAAAGATATATAGAGACTTTGGTACACAATTTACCTTAAATCGGACCAAGATATATATGGGAGCTATATCTAAATCTGAACCTACCTTAATACAATATTTTTAAAAAATCCACGCCAATGGAAATTCCGTTAATTAAATATGATGTGAGTTAGCATCACTAGAAATTAGTACTTTGTTACCTGTTTCCCGCGCTTTCTTCACCAATCGCTGCAGCTCCGCCATTGGTGGTGGTATCGGCGAGACGAACGGGAGATATACTGAAGCCAGGTAAATGTTACCACTCCCCTGCTTCAGTGCTACAGTGGCGTCCGATGTTGACAACTCTGGGGGGAAGAGAAAGAATAAATTGTTGTGACATATTATACAGGTTCTTGGGCGTATTCACATAAAAGAGTTGGTAATTTATATGGCATAATCCAGATACCCGGTTTTTAATTGTCCAAGGTTCCTGCATCAGTCTGGTGTGTATTTTACCTTTTATTATTGTTTCCATCAGGGCCAGGGTTGTCGTTTCGCTTCGATAGAGGTTATTCCTCCAGTAAACGGTTTTCTTGGGAGTCATTGATCTTCTCCCCGTATTCGCATAAAAGAGTTGGTAATTTATATGGCTTAATACAGAAACCCTATTTTAAATTGTCCAAGGTTCCAGGATCAGTCCGATGCGTATTTTACTTTTTATTATTTTTTCGATCTGGGCCAGGGTTGCTGTCTCGCTCCGCTGGATGTTAATCTGGATGACTTCTATCAAATGTCCTCCAGTAATCAATTTTCTTGGGAGTCGTTGATCTTCTCCTCGGCTCCCTCCTCTTTGTTGCCGGGTACTTTCTCCTCGCTGTTGTCATTGGCTTCATCGTCTCCAATCCTTGCCATCCCGATTTTGGAGTAAACGGCATTGGACACGTAATGCGCCTTACCCTTGGTCTTAGCCAGACTTGCCATTGAAGACCTGTCCAAGCCTAACACAAGGAGAGTTCCTTCCTCTTTCTTCTCCCTGCGGAAGACTTCCCACTTCTTCACATGCAGTGTCTTGTTTTGTAGGCTGAATACGTCGGGCATGCGTTCCATGTTGAAATCGCTGCCCCAACCTTTGACAGTGGCTGTAGCCTTTTGTAGTTGAAGAATGTCTTTTTTCGCACCAGCTTGAGTTTCATTGTTCCATCTATGGATCCAATGCTTGCCACTACCTTCCTCAGAGCTTGTATGCTATTTGGATTTTCATATTCCATCATTAGGTAGTCCTCTTTTAAAGCGCAGCTATCCAATTCAATAGTCCGCTCCTTGTCGTTGGTACTCCATAATCTTGCTTTTGACCGCATTTAGCACTTCCTTATGGGTCTCCTTCTTTAGCTTACCGGACGCGCTATTCCCGTCGATCACTGCATTGCAGAGCTCATCTCGATAGCGTTTCCTGGCAATCTTGGCATAAGACGGCGGCTCCTTACCATCTGTTGCTGTCATCTTCCTCTTTCGCAAATACCGGTTGTTCCTTTTGGGATACCCGGTCTTTGCGTAAGATTCCTACTCAGCACTCGTCTTCCTGATATCAGAGCCAGCCAGTAACTTTCTGCGGATATTTTTTCCGAGCCTGGGCAATATTTCGTGACATTTGCACCCTCTTGCCCGATTAGAGGTCAACAGCACCTCCTCCATACACTGTCACAGCCCTTCTAATTACTTGTCCAGATTCCCTTCACCGTGGGTTGTATGATGATGTTCGGCTTATAACTGTGGCCTATAGATCGGGTCGAAAAATATAAAAAAATAAGTTTTCGGTACACTTCATCCCAAAATTATTATCCGATAATAACCGAAAATTATAGGCGCTGTCCTTGACCATAACTGGAACACTATGGAAATCTTCATTGGACCGAACCTATCCTACATGCAAAATTTCATGAAGATTGGTCCATAACTGTATTTAAAAATATATCTCTAAAAATTTGTATTCTTTTATTCTCTTTACAGCTCCGCAAGGCCATCGAGGACATCAATAGCAATAGCTTTGTGATAACAAATCAACTAAAAGACAATCCCTTAGATGTGGAAAAAAGTGCAGCAGAGAAACCGTTGCTGCCACAGGACAGCAGTGATAAGCAGGTGAATATGACTGTGACATCCATGGATTCAGCTCTATCGAATTCCGACAATTGTTCCGACATTGAAATGGAAAATATTCACAAGACGACAACGGATGGCAAGACGACTAACACGACAACGTCGCCACTAACTATCAGCTCTGATAATGCCAATTCCACAACAACATCACCTGGCCATCAGAGTGACTCGAAGGCAGAGTGACCAGGCAGGCCAGCAAGCAAAAAATGTGGTTAAACATTTGTGTATATCTTTTTCAACATAGTAGTTACTATTTAGCTAAGTTTTATTTTTTTTTATAATTTAAGATTTTAAGGAAGCGTAAAAAAGATGTATTTTTTCTAGAACAATTTTTGAGTTTTTTTCCTTCCTCAAAAAAAAAAAAATATTTTTTTAAAAAAAAAGTAATTATTTTTATTAATTACTGAAATTGCTTTTCTGTAATGATTTTAAAGTAAAGACCCAGTACGACTAGAAATCGTATAATTTTTATTTTTTGTAAGTTTTTTTGTTTTTATAATTTATTTTCATGTGAATTTATTTTCTTAAAAAAAATATAAAAAATAATTTAAAAGAGGACTAGTTTGTAAGTCAAATGTTTTTATTATTTTTTTCTCAGAACAACAACTATGAAGAAATTGTTTTTCTTCTCCCAAACTATTTATAAAACAAAATTAGACACTATATAAAACAATAAGGTTATGTAATATAATTAATAATACAACAAAAAAATTATTAATATTTGTATTGCTAGCTAGGTAAATATTTTAAATATTTAAATTTAAATTAATAAATAAAAGCAATAAAGAAAAATTATAAGAATTTGTAAAATACATTAAATATACCAAATAAATAAAATAAATTTTAATTTAAAAAATGTTAAGTCTTTTATTTTTTGTTCATCACATCATTACAATTTACCTAATATTCGGGCTCCAATGGTACTTGATGTATTTTACAATCTTCCATTCCATATTGTTGTAATAGATCACGAATATATTGGCTTTGTCCCAATTTGATCATACCCGTCTCACCTTTTCTTTCGATCTCCATACCCAGGAAATGGCCTAACTGCCTCTTATCGCTGACATCGAACTCGCTTGTCAATTTATTTTTTATCTCCAAAACAACCATTTAACCGGCGATTAACACTAGTTTGCTTCTCCTTCTACCTTTGTAGAGACAGGGCTCGTTATCACATGGTTTAAAATTCATCTTATGCAATGTGGCATCTAGTTTAGAGTTCCACTCCCGTCTGCTTTGTTTCAGTCCATAAACAGCCTTATGGAGGCGTAGAACTTTGATTTTATGTAAAAACATTCTTTCCTTCACAGCCAGTGCCAATAAAAATCAAATTGTTGAGTAGCGAGCGACAGGGTGATATATCTTTTTGAAATCAATTTCGTATCGTTGGTGACAGCCTTTGGCTACTAGGCGAGCCTTATACCTCTCAATTTCATCATTTACATTCATTTCAATTCGCCAATCAAAAGCATGGTGGGTAGTTTGTCAGGTAATCGACATCTTTAGCGACGAATGGTAGTGGAAAGGGTGAGGCATCGCCATATAAAATTCGCCAATGAAAAGCATGGCTGCTTGATGTAGCAGTTTATATGAATTGTATATTTTCTATTTAAATTTCCTCCAGTTCTGTCTCTAGATTTAAAAATGCAGCTACCTCCACTGGCTGTAACCACAGATCTTCAGGAGTAAGGTGAGTAGATTTGGCTGGTCAATTGAATAAGTGCAGTGTGGTATGAGGGCCCGTACCACATGCTGGGCAGACATTCTGCACCTGGTCATCAATCCGTGCCCAATACGAATTGTGACGACTGCACCATCCAGAACGTAACTGGGCCAAAACTACTCTGGTTTGTCCGGCCAGTTGACGTTCTTCAGCTGTAATGGTTGAGGGGTGAGCTCCGAGGATGGCATTCACTTTGTATCCGTTCAGCACCGCGGCTACTGCCTCTGTATGAATGCAATTCAGACATGCTCGATAGGCAACTTGATCTAGCGGCTCCCTTTTGTATCGTTGGACCTCCCTCTCTAGATCATGCAGCTCCTTCTTGACACGACTGGGTGGGGGAGTCCTATCAACCATATGATGGTTGGGATGATTTCCCTGAAACACCCGAGCAGGTACTGCAACGAAAGCATATTGCTATGCTGACGTAAGGGAAGATTCTTCGTCTTCTCATGAAGATGGTCCAATAGTGTCATGAGGAGGCACCCTGTCGCAGTCCTCAGGGCGACATTCTGACAGGTCAGAATACTTCTCCATTGCGTATCACTGGAGTTCGCAGACCACACTGAAACCGCATCGCTTGCCACAGACCGACCTATCGCTTTGTAAAAGGTCAACAAGGTTTCCTTATCTGCGGCCCAAGTGCTGCCGGCAAGCGACTTGAGGACTTTGTTCCTACTTTGCAATCTATCGCAGATAAATGAAGTTTGCGCGGACGATTTAAACATACTGTCGAATGTGACCCCGAGTATTTTGGGGTAGTTGGTGGTCGAAATTCTATGCCCCTCGACCTGCACATTCAACGGCATTCTCATCTCCGCAGCCAATGTACTGAATAGTGTGGCTGACAACTTCGAGGCGGATATTTTCATATTCCTCGCTTTGAAGAAGGCTGCTAAATCGACTAGATAGGCGTTCAACCTCGCACATATGTCCTCTGCAATGGGACCCGACTCCATGATCGTACAATCAAATGCATATGTAACGATTTCTATGCCGTCAGGAGGGCGTGGAATACCGGAAAGGTAGAGGTTAAACAGTTCCGGAGAAATCACTCCACCCTGGGGAACTCCCTGTTTAACTCTACGGGGTTTGGACTTCTTGTTTCGGAACTCCACGTACGACTGGCGTCCACACAGTTGATTATCCAACGTTTCAAACTCGGCCGGAGAGAAGTGCTCTCAATGTCCTCAAACAGCGTGGCATGGTTGACAATATCAAAGGCTTTTGATAGGTCAAGCGCTACCAGCACTGTTCTATCGCACGGCCGGTTCTGGTTAAGTCCTTTACTTATATGAGTGGAAATGGCGTGTAACACTGTTGTACTGTGTTGCTCACGAAATCCATGTTGATGATCCGCAACTGAAAAGCTTTCTATAATGCCCACAGTTTACTTACTCCGGTACCAATGTGGCAACTCTTCAGGTGCTCCAACCATTTATTCCGCTTGTGCTCCGCGACTAATCTGCTGACCTCCAACGTAAGTTCCCTGACCCTGGCATCTACTGGGTTACATCGACGGAGCTCATCACGTTCGTTTGCTGGACCAACTGCTTCTGCAGGGAAATCAGGTCTCATTTCGGGTATTCGACCAGCAGGAATATATGTAGCAGCTGTGATGAACGTGGAGCTATCAATTTGCTCTGCCAGCACTGTTCCCCTCTGGTCATTACCTAGGACGGAATGCCACAACTCGTGGTGGACATTGAAGTCCCCTAGCACCAGACGGTTATTGCCCTCCAATAGAAAACTAATGTTAGGCAAATAACACGGTTCACATCTATTAATCGGCGGTATGTACACGTTAAGCACCACTACCTCGGCAGTACCACATTTAACTGCTACCCCCATATATTCCATGAATGGGTCACTAGAATCAAGCTCAAGCGAGATATGCCTGTATTAAACAGAGTGGTGCATAAGGAATGCTAGGCCTCCACCTCCACTTCTAGTGCGATCCTTCCTCAGAACGTTGTAACCATCACAACGCTGCATGGTTGGTAGTTTGACCGGTAGTCGATGTATTTCTGTGGTAGTCGATAAATTCATAGACGAAGAGTCGACTACTTTTACTGCAGGGCATCAAGCGCAATTCTCTCGTTGTGTACGTTGAAGTTGGCAAAGAGTTCTTTGTTGTTACACCTATGAGGCGTCGCGCCGCTGACATGACCAACTTGGAAGATTATCGCGCGTTTCCATTGCGATCACAAAATTATCAAATTCCTCAGGAAGGCTAGACATGAGCATAATGGTCAGAAGCTCCTCCTTAATCTCTATACCGGTGTCATGCAATTTCTCGTACACTTCCGAGAACTAGTTGAAATGTTGTACCACATTGCCATTTGACGCCATCTTCAAATTTAGCAACTTCTTATACAAGGAAACTTTTTGGCATGTAGACCTCCTTCAGCTTTTTCCAGGCTTCATGTGAAGTTTTCGCATTCCTTGTATAAGCCAAATGTGTTGTTTTAACTCCCAGGAAAATAGACGCTTTGGGCCTTTTCGTCTTCGGCTTCCCATTTGGATTTTGCCGCTTCACTGACCTCCTTATTGGTTGTTCCATTCACTATCTTCCAAAAGCCAGCATGGACCAGGACACTCCGTATTTGGACTGACCACAGATCATAATTGTTCTCGTCCAACTTCTCTATTTGAAGAACTGGTGCACTTTATTTTAAAAAATCCTTGCCTATTTGGGGAGGTTGAAAATTGATTTTAAAAAATGCACGCCTATGTTGAAGATGTTGAAAAATTTATTTTAAAAATAATTTAAAAAATTGAAACACACAAAGGTTTTTTTCTAACATTATTAAATTTTTATTTCGCTCTTTTATTCTACATTGTTCCAGGGTAGGGGGTTGTTGTTAAGTTTTTAAAACAAAATTCTTATTTTTATTCAAATACCATAGAAAATCATTTGTTTTTTTCATTTCATTAATTTTGATTTGTTTTTTTTTTCTCATGTCTCAAAAAATATATTGAAATTTTATTGAAGGCTTTGTTTTATAAATGAAAAATCAACAAAATACAAATGAAAAAATTGGGATATATTTTTTTTAATTTTTTAAAATTATATTGAACAAATGTCGATCACAATAAAAATATGTTTTTTTATTATTAAAATTATTTTTTCATATATTTTTTTGTAATTTATTTGGTTTTTTCTTTACTAAATGTATGTTATGATGATAGGTATGTATGTATGGTTGTTATAATTTTTTCTTGGTTGCTAATAATGAATATTTTTTTTGTTTTGTTTAATTGATTAACTATTGGTTTGGAAAATATTTATGGGTTTTTGTTTTTGTAATATGATTTGAGAGTTTATATTGTTGTTCTTGTTGTAACACAATTTTTATAATAATTTGTAATGTAATGTTGTCGTAATGCGAAATTTGTATCTTAAGGTGTTTGTTGTCTTTTTATTTTTTTGTCATAAATGGGCGGGGTAGGTTGA